GCGGTTGGAGGGAGAGCGAGACGCGAAGGGGGAGCTCATTTCGCGAACAGGGGCGTCGGATCAGACATGCGAAGCAGAAGAGTGGGGAGAGAGACTTGCGTAGGTTTTAAAAGGATAATAGATATTTATTATTATTATAATAATAATATATTATTATTATTATTATCTCTCCACGTCTTTTTTGTCGAACACGTTGTCGTAGCAAAATAAACTTCTCCCCTAGGTAAAATCGACGTCCTGGACGCACTGGTGTGGTCCGTTCGGTTGTTCGGGGTCGTTCGGACCACTTTTTTAAGCAATTTGGGTCAAAATGATAATTTGCGCATTTTTAATTTGCGCATTTTTATGATAATTTGCGCATTTTTACCTCGCTCGCGTTATTGTGGTGCAACGAGCGCCTTTTTTAAGTGAAATCGACGTTCCGGACTCACTCGTATGGTCCGTTTCGTCGTTCGGGGTCGTTCGTACCACTTTTTTTTAGCAATTGATTCAAAATGTTAATTTGTGTATTTTTAGCCCGCCCGCAAAAAGTTAACGACATGAATGCTCTCCTTAGGTAATATAGACATCCCGAACACACATAACATCAAAAATTGATACCAACAACTCGATCAGTTGAAGTAGGTAACTTCACTACCATATCATTCATATCATTCGAAATACTTCTTTCGAAAAAAGATCAATTCGCTCTCCGTCACAGTTGACACTGCATCCTATGGTTTCTGACTTTTCCTCTGGTTCTCAGCAGAACGAGGTTCTCCAGCGGTCGCCATTTTAGTGACGTTTTCTAGTAACTTTTCACCGCAACGTTTTGCCACAACGCTATACCGCGCCACTTCGTCACTATGCGTCACCGCAACTCTGACCGCAATACTTCACCGTAACTCTTCTCTGCAACTCTTCGCTTCGCCGCAATATTTCGTTTTGCCGCAACTTCTCTCCGCAACTCTTCACTGCACCACAACACTTTGCTGCAACTGTTCTCTGCAACTCTTCACTTTCCCGCAATGCTTCGCTTCACTGCAACTCTTCTCCGCAACTCTTTACTTCGCCACAACTCTTCACACCGCCGCAACTATTTTCTGCAGCGTAAGATGATTTTCTTCTTCTCCTCACTTATGGTTTTTTCCTTCATCCAATGTCTCGATTTATAGGCATGAAATGAGACATAGCAATAATAATAATAATAATAAACAAAAGCATGAATTTTGGGGGTTTAGTTCTGATTTGTTGTACAAAACCATAAATAAGATGCAGTTAAACGTTTTGTAAATGTTTAAACTCCACAAATTTATTTATAAACTCAAGTCCTAAGTAAAACTAAAATTCAGTACAAAGATGTTTAAATGTTCAAATTCTCTGCAACTCTTCGCACCGCTGCAACTATTCTCCACAGCGCAAGATGATTTTCTTCTCCTCCTCACTTGTGGTTTTTTCCTTTCATGCTATATCTCTATTTATAGACATGAAATGAGACATAGCATTAAATGCACATTTAAAAAAAAAAAAATGGTAGCCCATTTAAAAAAAAAATGCTGCTCATTAATATATATATAATAAACAAAAGCATTAATTGTCCTAAGTAAAACTGAAATCCGGTACAAAGATGTTTAAATGTTCCAAATTTAAACGCTATTTATAAATAATTATATGTTTATATATATATAAATTGAAACTGTTGTGGTGTAAGCCCCGTTTTGTATACCCATAAAGGGCTGAGTGAATGACTGTCATAAGAGCAAAATTATCTTCGGGATCAAACTATTATGGGCTCCACACACATCTTGACCTTATGTTGATCTAAGATCTTAATGTACTTCTACACATACATTTCTGTCTAAATGGCCCGGGGACTTTCAATGGCCCAATGGGCCGAGGCACTTCATCAAACAGCTTGTTATATATATAAAGTTAACAAAGTTTAACCTACAAGCCACGTAATTCTTACATATTTTTTACCAAAATCCATATATTTACAGGCATAACATTAAAATTTTTAGTATTACATTAATAATAACACGATAAATACAAAGTGTTATGCATTTTAATATTTTCGGAAGATGAAATCGAACGCCCGAAAACAGGGGGGCAACTGATACGCTACCTACAAATTTTCATCACCCGACACGAATCTCAAGGCTGAGATAATATTTGAGCAATAAATATTCAAATTTTGATAAAAAGTCATCCAAATCTCCGATTTCAGCAAAGTTATAATCAAACTGACCGACTCGATGAGACAAACCTAATGATATCAAAGTTAGTCAAATCTGAGTCAAATCAAGCCCAGATCAAGTGATTAAATCATTCTTTAAAGATTTCCGGACACATTTGGAAGATCAAACAAATGTCAAATTCAGCGTGTTTATAGGCGAATCGAGCCTCTCGACGAGACGAATCCAACGAGCCCAAGATTGCCAAATTTCGTCATCGTTAAGGCACTCAAATGTCCATCAAACGCCATCCGATTGAGGGAAGTTCTCCGGACCGTCCGATCAGAATGGTTCATATTCCCGCATTAATTGCACCCAGAACACTATAAATAGAGCCCCACTCCTCACATGAGGGTGAAGAGGCTTAAGAGAGAACTTGAGGCTTTGGGTGAGCTCAGGTCCAAGATCATCCTTGCCATCGTCGATCGCCGTCGACCACCACTGACCGTTGACAGCCACCACCGACCTCTGTCGACCACCGCCGGCCACCGTTGAACGCCGCCGATCACCGCTGACCTCCGTC